ACATTCAAACTGACGGAAAATAATTATGAACAATAAGTTCAGTTTAAGCAAATAGTTAAACCTTATCAGTCATATGTCACCTCTGGACATACCCATGAAACTCTACCACACTGCTTAAATGTCATATAGAAAGTTATAAGACAGAACAAGAGTAAATGTGTTGATTGCAAAATGTCTGTGGACTTGAATCATTACAAAGTCACTGTTGAGATTATGAAGGGATATTTAATAACTCTATTTTATGCAAATTTTAATATTTTAGACCTAAAAAAAGAATAAGACCACACAATAAACAATATTTGTTGAGCGTGTTATTAAGATAAAGTAACATGCCCAACAAATATTAATTTAGAAGCCAAACAACAAAAATCAGCGTTATATTTGCAAATTTTTGCAGGACTAGTTTCCATCAAAACTAATCCTGTGAAAATTTGCAAATATAATGCTGATTTTCGTTGTTTGACTTTGAAAACTAACGGTGTTGAGAATTAGATATTTGAAAATAAAAAATTTTGTACACAGTCTTGATTAAAAATTTTACACAAAATCTCTTCCTGGGAAAACAGATATGTGTTGATAAAGCTGTTCTGCTCTTAAGGAAAACTTAGTTTTAGAGTTTATAGCTTCAATAAACCAAATAAATGAGAAGTGGCAGATTCTAACCTGGATATGTGTATTTGATGTTACCCTACTTTAGCCTTCTTATGAGTCTTTAATGTCTCATAAATGTCCTGACAGTACAAAGATTGTTTTGTACTGTCAGGACAATAATAATTTCCTTGAAACAATTCTCTTTTCTTTCTACATGTTATATTACTATTTCACTAGAAAGTAGCATATCCAGATGAGTTACATGATCCATTAAAAGGTAAGAATCTTTACACGCATTTGCCACCTAAGTCGCATCAAGCTGATAACACCAAATTAAGCCACTCTGATGTGTGAAGAATATAACTTAAGAAGTAATAACATTAAAATTTTTTTAAATTAATTGATTCACAACTAATGTCAGATCTCAATGACCTACAACATGTTTTGCAATCAAAGCATCTTAATTTCTGCACAATCATTATAAAATACAACCCAAAAAAGTGCTCAAGGCATTTGACTTTAAAGTTGGAAATCATATTCAGGGGTTGTACACAAATTGAAAAGCAAAATGTTTGCAATTTTACATAACCGAAAATATTCAAAAAACATTCCTGATGATAACAGATTAAGTGAGAAGCAATTCTATGCAGGTAAAAGTGAAAATTATTCATCAAGATACATTTTTCAAAAAGGAGATATTATTCACAGAATCATAGAGATTTCATGTTCTAGGGGGAATAAAACATGGCAGGCTTCAACATTGGCACATAGCTAATTCTTAGCATTACTGCCATAAATTAAAAGTAATGAATATGAGTTGACTGAATTTACGTAATTATTATATTATGATTCTAAAGAAACAAAACTTAATAAGAATATTAATAATGAATTTATGGTGTTTGAAAATTCATAAATCATTTGTGTGAAAATTCTTTCTTCATACCAGTTGTAATAAAATTATAAATTAAAGCATGTTAAACATTAGTAAATCCTAAAAGAATATCACTGAATGGTATTTAAGGTGGGAAAGCAAACCTTAAGATATTCCAATTTATTTAATAACTTCCTAATTTATTTCCTCAATGCAAGTTGAAACTTAAGTCAAATATCCAAAATCTTTAAATTAAATAGCTTGGTCAATTTTTGTCACATGAAAGGCATACTTTTCAATTTTCCTTTTTCATAATGAATATCAAATTTTCCTAAATACAGTACAAAGTTCAAGATCTGGACTCGTCAGGACTTTGACGATTCCAGATTTGGGATTTTTCTGGGTTTTGTTCCTTTACATTCATCATCGGTTTAAACTTAATAAAATGACATGTAGAAATTACAAAATTAAAAATATGAAATAGTGGCCTATGAAATAATGAAGCATTTAGGACCTTAAGGGAATCAGAATTTACAAATAAGATTTAAAAAAAAAGAGGGGCTCAGTTATTTATTTGTTTGCTTTATTAAACATTTCTTTTAATGTAAGTTGTTTCTTTTTCTTTCATTCTTTCTTTTTTCACCTATACTAATTTTATACGCAGATATAATTTCTTGTTTAATTAGGGAAGTTTCACTAATCAAGTCCTGTAATTGACGTGTTGAGAACTCCTACTAAATTATCAATCGAAATTTTTTTCCTCGGCAACCTCTCCATAACTTTTTTTTACTATCGGTAGGGATAGTTTCTAAATTTAGAACCATACTCGAGATTTTGCCATCCATTTGTTGACTGATTATCGGGGCATTGTCACTGCAATGAAAAACTTTTGTTACATCGTCTTTATTTATGAGTACTTCTTAATAGGAAAATTCTGCTTTTTGTTGCAACATCTGAAAACCCTCTAATTCGCAGCTATCATCATAAAGTTTAGCTAGCATCCACTCTAAATTATTGGTGATGTATCATGAGACTGGTGACTAATGAAATGTTGCTCTTGTAAATTTTTTTTTTTGCTTATATCACACATTGACAAAGTTAAGCCTAAAAATTATATTAGTTCAGTTATTTATTATACTTACCCCTATTCTCCACAAATGCTTAAGGTTTATATTTGTAGTGAATAAATAAATTAATTCCCATATATACTTGAGGCTTATCCAGGTCTGGCCCAGTCTCTGCAAAGTCCTAAATTTTGCTACCAAGAGTATCCCTAAATCCTAAAATCTTGCTGCCCCTAAATTCTGGATCCCAGTGCCTTACCTAAATTGTAAAGATTTTTCCATACTTTAATTTTGCTGCTCGGTCCTTCTTCAAATTCTAAAAAATTTGCCTTCCCTAATTTTCCCAGTTCAGATGCATCAGCTCTGGCATTGGTCTTGGGCTTTAACTGAATAAATAATCAGTTATTCTCAATTCAAACATCACTAAATGTCATTTTTTGCCCTATATGCATTTTTTACAAATAGATTTCTTATGAGAAATTCCCATTAAATTTCTCCTAATCAGGGCATTCAACACTGCAGCACAGTTAGTTGAAGTCTGTAATATTGCCAAGTGTAATATACAGGGTGTTCGGGATAAATTTGACATATTTATAATTGATTATATTTTTCCATAGGTTGGAGGTACTATTTTAAATTACTAATTTTGAAAGATTTTACTCGAATATTAGTTATGGATTAATCGGAAAACGAGAATCAACAGCAATACCTTGAAAATTTTATTATGGATAACATTACATATTTTTCGATGTTGTGTATATACAGGGAGATCAAAAAGTCAAGCGCATCAAACTTCCAAAAAGTGTGTAGAAATTCCATAATGGATATCAGTGGCAAATTGTTTCAGTGGATGATACCCAACTGCACTCACAAATAAGGAGCGTATGAAAGATGGCATCTTTATTCCTTGCGAAGTACTGCTCTATAAAAATTCGTTCTGCCAGTGAAAAACTCATCTCCGTCAACTTAGCCAAGCAGACGGTATTAAAGCTAACACCATAAACTTGCAAGTGAAACCTCAAGTGATATATTACTTGTGAAAGCCTACGGATATCACCCACTGAAAAGCTTGCCTTTAATTAATTGCATTTTGGAATTTCCAGAATTTTCGAAAGTTTGATGTGCGGGACTTTGGGATCATCCAGTATACGTACAACTCTACCAGTGCTCCGTTATAACCAGACAATGTTTTTTACAACATGTTTTAAATGTTATTCTGTATCGATGATTCTAAAGTAGGATGTGATAGTGATTATTATGCGTGTCCCTCATATACAGGGTGTTCGGGATAAATTTGACATATATATAATTGATTATATTTTTCCGTAGGTTGGAGCTATTGACACACACTACTTGCCATTTAAAAGTTTGGACCCTTCTTCATTCATATACAAGATGTCGGAAAGAATGAATGACTGGAACCCACCTGAATCATGGAAGAGAATAACTTGCTTCATGATGATTCATGCCGGTCATCAAAATAAGGATATCATGACTGCTGCCCAATGCTCCCTGAACACAGTAAAAACAATCAGGCATGAACTAGAGAATTGCAATGGTGACTATGAGGATGTAGCAAGAAGAAAGATCCTAGCAGACGATCTGATTGCGTTCGAACAGCAGAATTCCTTGCAAATCTGCAGGAACAGATGTTGAAGAACCCTGGCATTGGAATTCGGGCTTTGTCGTGCAAAATGAATGATGCAGCCTCTACTATGAAGCTTGTACTCAATAAAGACTTTCACTACTACTCATACAATCGGATTTTCTTTTTCCTTACGAAATTGTCAAATTTATCCCGAACACCCTGTAAAGAGTTATTACACTCTTTGGTATTCAATTACTAATATTAAAAAAAAAATGTTTAATCATTGTAGCGCGAGTCATTTCTCAAGATGCAGTGCGCTGATAGTCATATAATGATGAAAGCAACAAACAATGAGTCAATGATTCGCCAGAGTAAATTATTCTATACCTGTAAAATCAACCATGTTTCATTGAAGAATGTTTTGCTTTGAGATGTATGCCAAGCAAAAAAGCACTCACAGAACTAAATTATTGTCATGACATATTTTAACTACTAGAGGACTACATTATTCAAAATTTGAGAACTCTAGATACTGTTGTTTTTTCACAACACTAGAAACGTACATACAGTCATGCAGACTCTTAATTACTTAATTTCTTTCATTATAACACAGGATGATAACATTCAGTATCAATAATTTGAAAAGTGATAAAACACTTTTAGTGATTCAATGCAAAATGCTGTTTCGAGACCAACAGCCCTTTTGGGTTAACGAAATTCTGGAGGCCCATAATTTGGACTTTGTACTGTATCAACATTAGAAACGTTTGCTTACGCGGCTATTGCTGAGCTTCTGAAGATTAGGTGGCACATTTTTATGTGAGATAAAAATTTTTCCCATGTAATATTTCAAATAGTCACTAATTAGACATGATTCTACATTTACCTTTAGAGTTCCACTCTAACACAGCAACTTTTATCTCTTCTGCAAATGAGATTGATCTAGGAGGCATAGAAAACCCATTGTCTATCTTCCCTTTTAAATATGAAGCATCAGAGTTAGAACTGTCTAGACCAGCAATAGCACCTTTCTCTACTGCTTTATTATCCTATTTAATAAGTAAAAAATATAATGAAGTGTATTATTAATACAAGTTTATGTTAGCAATGCATAAATATGAACTTTTAAATATTTATTTCTAAATTTTGAATCACATAGAAATGTTAAATTTAAATAATTTTGGTGCAGGCTCAATATCAAACAGGAAATTTTGGCTCCAAATATAGACACTATTTGAATAACAATAATTAAAATTAACAGGGAAAAAAGTAATAAATCACTAAAAGAATAGGAGCAATAATTCAAATGCATGCATTTTAAGCGTACTTTTCATTTTACAATACATTTTTGCACATGTAAAATATATTTAATGATTTTTCATACTATCAAAAACTGAATACACATTTTCAAAACTAATTATTTACCTTTATGGATGAAATACAAATGTATAAATAAATTCCTCAAGTCTTTTGCATTCTTAATTTTTTTTTAAATTTCACAAGCCTTTGTTTTAGCATATAATTTTGATACATAATTCTTCTTCAATTTCTAATTCTTATATTTCTTTGCCCATTGCCATGGCAGATAAAAATAAATTAATGCAACAATCGAAATATTAATGATATCTGTTCATGAAGCAACAAAAAAGCATACATCTGCTCATCATACAACTTCTGCTATGAGAGAATGAAATAATGGATGCTAGCATAATCCAAGTAGTTTTCCTTAAGTTCTACTTTTGCATACTTCTAATATTTTCTGTTCCATAAATTCTGAAAGAGCAATATGGTTAAAATACTACAGAAATTTCTTTAAAATACCCAGAAGGATACAGGGGTAAAACTCAATTACTCACTTTATAAAATTCAGAAAGTATCAAAGGCTTACATTTATGAAAGTATTAAAATTTTTAAAATGCAAAGTAATAATAATCATGCAGTAACCAAAAATATGCCAAACCTAGCTTTTTTTTTATCGCTGAAATTTTTATCTTTTGATGTTTTCCCCGATATACTGCTTTCACAAAATTATCGAAATTTTGATGGCCAGTTTAAAAAGGCATAAAATACCATTTTAATTTATGACAGGCCTCCTAGCAAATTTTAAAATGGAAAAAGAAGCACAGATCCAATTTTTAAAACTGGCAGACATTTTTCACAGTCAAGAAGAGTTTGGAAAAAGAAGCATACATCCAATTTTTAAAACTGGCAGATATTTTAGTCACTGATAAAAAAGGAAATTTCCTTTGTTCATTAAAAAGAAGGCAGCTCAAAGTATTTCAGGTATTCAGTATTTTATCACTCTAAACAGCCTCCCTTACACCTTTTATCACTTTTAGAAATATAAAACTATGTTAAATACCACAGAGACAAATGTTTAGTCTTACATTTTCTTTTGCTTTATATAGCTGAGCTTTCAAAGCAAAAACTGTTAAAAGTATATATATGTGTAATTTTTTTAAAGGGTTACCAATAATTTCAAATTTTGCATTTTGAACATTTAGTTCTACTTATCAGTTATGGTTCAAGTTACAGTATCACAGTTAGCCTTAAATTTATACATTTGTTAAAAGAGCAAACTGATATGGATTTCTAAACTAGCAATGTCTTTCTTTTTATATGATGAAATATGTTACGGACTACGGACATAAACTGACATCACATTTAAAAAAAACCTAAGAAAGAACATAATTTAGTAAAACAGACGAATTAAATTACAAAATTAATGTAAAAAATTTAAAAAAGGATTTCAGCATATAAACTAAGTGTGAAACATGAAAATGCACACCCACTAATATTTATATTAAATAGATTAATTTCCAGAATACCCCACCACAAACAAATGAAAACATTTTTAAATTATGGAAAATGTAATCTTTTAATTAGATAAACTACTAAAATACTGGCATTATGGTTACAGTAACATAGATAAGAAAATGAAGTTCAGTACACCTTAACATTAATGGAAACAAACAAGAATATACACATGAATCTGGTTTCACTCCAAAATCAGAGAATAGCTATAACCCAATTTCTCTTGTGCACCAAATTCAATCGCAACAATTGTAAAATATATATAAATATGCAAATAAAAGGATGTAATTATTACTCTTACGTTAATTACTACTACTGTTAATAACATCAAAATGAAAACAGCTATGTGGATTTACATATATCCTGAATCATAATTTTACACATAATGAGAGAACAAAGAGTGAATATTCATTATTTATTTACCATAGAAGCATTACTCTTTACATCATTTTCAGCAAATGACCTTGCTGAACTAGCCTCAAGCAAGTCTGGAAGGGGATGTGATTGGCTTAAATGTTCATCTTTTACAATTTTACGCTCAACTGTTGACCTTTTCTCACTATCTTCGCTTGCAGCATCCGGGCTTTGAGTTCGTCTTCCCAACTCTGAATCAGAGCCATCAGACATATCCACCTCAATTTGTTTAAAAGCTGCAAGAAAATATGGGGGTAAAAATCTGAGATTTTGAAATAAACCACTGAACACAGTTTGATTTACAAATTCTTGCATTTTTCTTTAGTAATAAACTTCAGATATTTAGCAAAATGTAAATTTAAATGATGTTGACAGTAACATGACACATAATTAAAATACACATAAACAGTACTCAATAATTAAGACACAATAACATGCCGAACAAATACTAATTCAGAAGTCAAGCGTTATATTTTCAAATTTTCACAGGACTAGTTTCGATGGTTATACCGAACCACCATCCTCAGCTGCAAAAGCACAAATGAAGGAGATAGGATATAATGAAAGATAAGATAAAGCCTGGACAGTATTCAGTGTTTAGCAAAATGAATTTAAAAATGAGGATCACATAACCTTCTTGAAGGCCAGCATTTTATTTTCTTTACAATTTGAAAATATCTGGCAAAAAGAACTGTGCTTCCTGATATTTTCCTTTGGATAGAACTGAAATTGTCTTAAAAATGACCATTCTTTTATTTGGCTCCTTCTTGTAAGATCATCAAAAAGTCTATTCAATTCAGTTAATTGACCATTTGCTTACCTCACTGCTTTTGTATAACTCTACCCTACAAGCATGAGCCATAAAGCAGATGTTCAAGACAGGAGCACTTTGACAAGATGAAAAAGAGAATTTATTTATTCATTAAGTCCAGAAAAACCATATTCTGCCATTAATTTTTTTACATACTATTTCTATATTTTAACATGCAATAATTTTATTGATTTCTTTATCGTGTTGTGTTGTTAAATATAGGTACGACCTTTAAGTATAGACATTAGAACAGTGTAACTTTCTTGTACAGAATACTGCTACAGGTTTCTGACTTAAATTGATAACATATTAATATCATAATAATAAAATCTTAGTAAAGAACTAAGGAGAGAGTGTAATTACACTACTTAAGTTAGTTGACTGGTACATTTATGGCACATATTCTAAATTGTTACGATGCAGAAAAAATGCGATGAATCCACTTTTTCTCATTCAAAGTGTGGATAATAATATAAAATTATACTGTGACAACTTTTTAATGAATCAGACTATTAAAAAAAAAGAATCACAGCAAATTTCTAAAATATTATTTGATGCTGATTAATGAGCTGATGAGTCAAGATGAATTAAAATATAAAATTAGGTGAAATCTTCATATACAAAATACATTAAGCTACTTTTAAACTACTTCAGATAAAATAATAACAACCAATTTCTTTAAAATATTCAAATATATTGAAACTGACCTCTTTTCCAACTAAACAGTCTAGAGGTAAGTCACAGCTACCAAAATACTTTAAATGAAGTTTCTTAAAATATGAGTGTTCTATTAAAATGTGATACACTGATAAAGAAGCATTACAGTATAAGAAAATTAATTTTCTGGGCTTTTAGAAGGTAACTGTGTAACATGAAAGTGGCCAGTTCTGATGGAAGGTAACTCATTGCCAGTTTTGATCCTGACTAATTAAACAGACAAAAATGTCTCACAAATTTTTTTACCTTTTTGCCTTAAAATGCTCTCATCTCAACATTCAGAGTGTCTCAAAATGGTTTTGCTCCCAGGGACAGAGGAAAGAAATTTTTTTTCCATCTCTTAAACATATGGGACAGGGTTGAAAAATACAGCCAAAATTGCCTTCAATTTGTATTCCATAAAAGTGCTATACATGATTGAGAAATGCATATACAACAGAAATTACTGTTTACAGTTTCTACATCTATAAAGCAAAGTATTGTTTCAATACAATTCTATGTTATTATTTCATTTTTGTCCCATACTTCATATAATCACATTTACGAATAGAGAAGGCTGTATTGTGCAACGACAATTAAACGAAAAGTTATTAAATAGTAACTAAATTTTTAGAATTCCTCCTTTTTTAGTGATTTTTGTTGAAAACAAAACATATGATTAAGAATGTTTCCTGTGAATTGAATGGGTAAATGTAATTAAATTGGTACTATATTGGTCACTATTTATTTATCCATTCACTTTATCATATAAGAAAATATTCTGTTTTTTACATGATCAACAATATCTAACAGTAAAATGGCTAGATATGGAAATGAAAAGGGGTGCATCCTTAGAGTTTTCATTATTAGACAGATTTTTTTAACAAGATGTTTCAAATCATTTGCTTCTAATCATGTGCATTTTTGTTTTATTTATTGCTTATTAATAACAATGATTCATTCAATCAATAATTCATGTCTAACTGCTTCAAAAAATGTATGTCATTCAAGTAAAATAATAGGTGCAAATTTTTCAAAAACTGAATTCATAAGCATTCCTTTTAATTTCTAAAATGACATATTTTAAATTTCAGAAGAATTGGTGACTGTTTTGCAAAAATTTTGTTAATTATCTCATTTCTAACTCATAAAATTTAAATTGTAATTCAAAGTTTAATGTCATTCTTTAAAATTATAATTATTTAAGTGAAAGCAAGCATTCTTGCTGAAGGATAAAATGTTATATTATTAACAACTCATAATTAACAAGCAATTTTACTATTAGCATGAAAATATTTCAGTGTCATTTATACTACAGTTACAAAAGAAATGATCAAAATGGTTCGCATGTATCTGTCCTCTATCATTCTCCATATTTATGCACATACACTATTCAAAAGTGAAACTGCAACACCAAGAAAGAATGCTCATAACATCATGCAAATTGCAGGATCGAGAGTTCTGAGATGGACATGCAAATGATTAAAAAAACAGACACATAAATTATAAACCAATTTATTCAGTATTTAATGTGCCCACCTCGGGCAGCGATACAGGTCTCAATCTGCCGTGGTATGCTATAATTGAGTTCATTGATGGTTGCCTGAGGTTATAAGGTATTTGTCCTGCCTTCTTGGCAGGCCTTCGTGGTGTGGTGGTCTGCATGCTGGGTGGTGCCCACCTCGGGCAGTGATACAGGTCGCAATCCGGCTAGGCATGCTATCAATGAGTTGATGGTTGCCTGAGGTTATAAGGTATTTCTCCTGCCTTCTTGGTGTGGTGGGTCTGCACGTTGGGTGCGTATTCCAGATGTCCGTGGTTCGATTCCTGGTGAAGGCGTTGCATATTTTTCATCTTTACAGCTTCCAAAATACCTAATGTCTCTACGGTGGTACTTGAAATAAGAGGGTAGTGGAAGATGATTCTCCACACCCAGAATCTGGCGATTGGGTCCCCTAAAAACCAGTCACCCTTTAAAAAAGGGGGAATATATAAGGTATTTCTCCTGCCTTCCTAGTATGGTGGTCTGCATGCTAGGCGCTTATTCCAGAGGTCTGTGTTCCGATTCCTGGCGAAGGCGTTGTATATTCTTCCTCTTGCCTGCTTCCAAAAAAATACCTAATGTCTCTACAAGGTAGCCTTTGCCAAGCCACATCCGCTGATGCATGCAGCTCATCCAGGGTTTGCAGCTGTGGTCCTCACTTAATGTCACATCCAATGACATCCCACAGGTGTTCGATGGGATTCAGATCTGGAGAGGCTGCCGGCCAGGGTAGGATGTCAAACCCAGTCAGGCTGTTAAGAGTACACCATGCGACATGCGGCTTGGCATTGCCTTGCTGGAATACCGTGTTGGGTGTGCTCTGCAACTAGGGCAGAACAACAGGCTCCACAACTTGCATAATGTAGCAGTCTGCTGTCAAGCTGCCGTTAATGTGTACCAGGAACATCTTGTGATCAAACATGATACCACCCCAAACCATAATGTCCAGTGCAGGACCCGTGTGACGCTCGGTGGAATGGGCTGCTTCATACCGCTCTCCAGGTTGCTGCTGTATCCGTTGACGGCCATCATTTCTCAACAGATGGAAATGAGATTCATCCGTGAACAAAACCTGATGACATTTGATGGTCCATGCACTATGACGCTGACACCATACCAGGCATCTGGTCTTGTTGAGCAGTCAATGGTACCCATAAACATAAGTGTACTTCATGCAATTTATTGCATATAGTTTGAGTGGACACAGATCCACCTACTTCTGCAGGAACCCGGCTTCAGATGTCATGTGACGTGCAGAAATGGTCTCCAATAGTTGAACGTCAAATACACCAGTCTGTGCTCTCTGAAGTGCACCTGTATGCACCATTTCCTCTTTGATGAGCACATACACCTTCCTAGAATCCATCGTATAACACAACGTTGAGTGGTATTCACGTTGTGCCCAACATGAGTGGCTATTGTGTGCAGCAACAAACCAAGTTCATGAAGTTCGATAATACCTTAACTGATGGTACTGAGCCGAATGAGCTCGCCAACATCTCAGAGGGCTTTTCCTATGCTTCTTCTAACATCTCCAATGCTGCGTAAACCCTCAGATGCTGTTTATGAGAAGGGAAACTGGCTGACCTTTATAGCCTGCATATGCATATCACGTGACCTAATGCACGCACAACTTTTGTCATTTGCTTATGCAGGCAAATGCTTAGGTCATTTGCTTTTGTTATTGCAAGAGTGAGAGTCACCTCACAAATCTCACTACTGCAATTTGCATGAAGCTACATGCATTCTTTCTTGGCGTTGCAATTTCACTTTTGAGAAATGTACATAAATACTATATTAAAAAATAAAAAAATGCTTGAATATAGTTCCAAAGATGCTTACACAATAAAAACTTTAAAAAAAAAAAAAAAAAAAAAAAAATAGTTTTTTTCCATGCTGCTAAGTTAGTGCACAGTTTCAATCAGTATTATAAATAATATTAAGATTTGAAAATAAACTGAAAAACTACTGACAGTAGGTACCTCTGTTTTCATAATGATAAATGCAAACTTCTTCCCATCACATTCATGAAACACTAAACTATGAATATGGTGAGTGGATATGAAGAAAGTGAATATGGAGAAATACCAGAGCTTATTTTCTACCTAAAGCCATAGCAGGATTATTAAACATGCAGTAAAAGCTCTCCAACACATAAAATGAAATGCTATCTCTAAAGGGGGGAATTCAGATTCATAGAGATTTTACATAAAATTCTATCAATTAGACACTGACTGATCAAGGAATACACAACATGAAATTTAAAAAAAAAAAAGCAATTTTTCACACCATCAGAAGTTATACTTAAAAAGTGACTGTGGACTTTTAGAAAGGTCAGGTTAGGTTATTGCCCTTGCCAAGCACTCTAAAATTTTCAAAGCACTCTAAAATTTTCAATTTCACTGAAATACTTAAAGAATCCTCTTTATTGTTTTTTGTTGCCTTGCCAAGTTATAATTCAGAAATTGCATGTTGAATACTTTCTAAGCACTGGAATTTATAATGTAACAGAGAATTCAATTCGTAAAGTCTGAAAACATTCACTTTTGTTTTGTAATTTCTTCAGTAATAGTCTTTGTTGTATTCAAAAATATTGTATGTAAAGTTAAGCATCCATAATAAATTATCAAAGCTCTGGAGAAACTAAAAGCACAAATGCTTAAAGTTTAAATTCAAATAATACCTTGCTTATTTTTCAGTTACTCAAATTTTTTATCATGGATGCCAATTAATTTGTTGTATCTCCTCAAGAGAATGAATACAGAAAATTCGTACAATCCTAAACTAAATACTTTATATTTTACCAAGATACTTTTACTAACTTAAAAGGTTTAGACAAATTATTTACGAAATATTTTTCTCTATGTTAAAATATGTCTCGTTATTATGGATACATACAAAATAATAAACCCAATGCTAAAATCGATATGCATTAATATCAATATGCAACAACATTTAAATACTTCTACACCAAAATTTCCTTAAAAAAATAGAATTACAATTCAAATATGCTGAACTTCCAATTTTAATATTTTGAATTATACAAAGAAATAGCAGGGAAAGCAGATGTTACATTTTCATCTGTTTATTTGTGGCAAGTGTTTTTCAGCACTAATAGCATAAAAGAACAGAAATGAAAGCGATTTTAACTTTAATCCCATCACATAATGGACTTCTTTGTAAGAAACAACAAGCGTCATTAACAACTCAAATATTTTACTGTAAGCCTTTATTAACTTGCAGCATTAAGGCTCCTGAATATTTCTCTGAGGTTCTGTGGAATGTTGCCTGCTGAGGTCCACAACTTTACAGTAACAATTTTATAATAATTCATAAAACAAACAAATGAGCACCAAAATTACATACCAAGCTTTGAATCTGATTGAACTCCATTTTTCTTCCTTAAAACAGGGGTAAGTTGATGAACATCATATGGCAGTTCAATGGGTAGGCCAGCAGCTTTCTGTACTTCAGATAAAGTATGCTCTAACAAGATTACCTGCAACAGGATTTAAGTATTGAATTTCACAAAATGCAATATTAATCAATCAGTTAAAAAGCTAACTGGAGTATGATTTTTTTTTTTTTTTTTTTTTTAACACTAGGAAATGTTAGCTTTAACAGGTTTGTCCCATGCTTGGAAATGTTTCTAAAAACTGTGCATTTATTACAATTAATCCTATCTCTAAAATTTTTCATTCATGAGAATGTATAAAATTATTACTTTATATTAATATTTTATAATTAAAATATCCAATTATTCTGGAGCTCTGTTTGAGGTTTCCTTCCATTATATAACAGAACAGATGAAAACATACAATAATAAAACTAATAGAATCTTCTGTCATGAAGAGGCCTTCAACAGCCAATGCAATGACTATTCATCTTTCTTCTGTTAGCACATATGACAGAAATGAAATTAATGATGCAAAGCTAAATCTAACTTTCATCCTATTATACCTCCTAAAATGCTATATTTGTAATAATACATATACTATTTGCAGAATATGCAAAAACGTTGTTTCCAAAATGAAAATGTGTTTGTGACAATGTCATTTACATAGTATTATCTTAAATATATACACACACTTATAGGTTGCATTGTACCTGCACATCTAGCCACTTATTAAAGAATGTTTATTATTTTCACAATCGGAATTAATCACAAAAAGAAAATTAATTTCATAGCCTTCTAAATTTTAAATGATGACTCAATTCAGAAAGTTGAAATATGTTTTCAGTCTAAATAAAGGATGCAAGCTCTTTTACAAACATCAACAAGATACGAATGAATATGGACAAAATAAAAACATCTTAATTTTATTATATTTATTTTTTGAAGGTTAAAAAGACTTAAAAATGGTTGCATCAAATTCATTAAACTGATGAATTAAACAATTCATACAACTGCTCACTGAAAATTTGTAAATGCTTTCAGAAAGATAACTGAAACTAAAAAATCAAACCCTGCAAAATCATAACACATAAAGATTTAATGCTACTTTTATTCATGACTAAAGTGAAATTACTGCAAAAATTTTATCATCACCATACAAACAAATGAACAAACTTCAGAAAGAGAACACTAGTTGTATAAACGCAGCTTTAGAGTCAGAATGTAAAAGTTAATCATAAGGCTGATTAATCTAACAAATGTTACTAATGGACAACTGAGCTACAAGCTTAAAGAAAGAATATCATTTAAAGAGAAAACTACCAAATCCCATTAAACCAGAACTTTTGGCTAACAGAAAAGAAATACGAGAAAAACAAAGTGTTTCATATTACCATGCATTTGCAGCACTTGATGACAGGATTGCTGATAACAGGGAAAAGCAAACATTTATGTGGAACAAAGGTTAAAGCTAAAATACTATATGATGAATGATTAACAAATTAGAAATGGTTCATTATTAGTGCTGAGTAGAAATTAAGAGTAAGAAGTTATCCACTCTTCAAATTATTACATAAGAAATTTAGCCTTATGATTTACTGAAATTTCACTTGCAGTTTATGATAAGCCTTTTCTCTAATCATCTAGTACCATCAACTGAAAAATCACATATGAGTAAACCCAATGTTATGGGATGCACAGCTAAAAATATTTTACACTGAGAAAGCACAAAATATGCTGTACAAAAACATTATTGGACTTCTTTAGTGGTGAGGAAAAACATTTAGAGGACTTAACTCAGTTTTGGAGCTTTTGTGAAACTGACACTAGTAAAACTTCTTCATCACTGCACAATATTCATAATAGCAAATCCTATTGTTCATTTAAAAATTTATATTAATAGAACTCAACAGTCTTTTTTACATATTCTTTGATGATTACTTCCTTGAAATCAAACTTTCTGAAACTAATAAATATGTAAATTAAAGCATTTGAAATAGTAATCTATGATAAACAATAACACTGGAACCCACAGTGAAAAATGAAATTAAAGTTTTTCTCATTTTAAATACCTTACTAGGAACTTTAAATGAGCCTATGTGTAGTAACACTGGAGAAAGAGACATTCAATATCAACACCATATTTCTTTTCAAAAATTATGTCTTATTATTAACTCATTCACTAGTATTTACATTTTCCTTAACTCCAAATTTGATTTCCAAACACATAAATATCCAAAATTACAGCCCAAAATTATTCATAATCAACCAGAGCTGGTAATCAAGCATAGTTAACAATAAATTATCACACTTGAAAAAGATGAAACAATTGATGACAGCTTGATGCTGTTCAAAGGATGGTTACACTGGAAACAATAAATGCTTCTAAAAAGATCATGATATAGAACAAGGTGTTTTATTTATTTATTTATTTAATTAATTAATTTATTTTTTGGTAAATAGAAGTCTGATTACATATATCAACTTACTAGATACATTGGAAAAGACACACAATTCAATTGTAATCACCTGTATCTGTGCAAAGTATCTCGAGTGATGATTTTTATACAGCCACTAATGAATAGATATTGCCCAAAATGATGAACAATTAATATACATCTTTACAATTGGCAGATATTCTTCTAACAAAGCACACAAATATACAAATATGCATGGAACACTCAAACTTGGTAGAAGAGATGTTCCAAAACAATTACAATAAAAACACACAAAATACAAAATCCATGCTTACCAAAGAAGAAAAGTATGCAACATCCAGTGGATTGATACAAAAATTGTACCTTTGTTACCTACTACACCAAATCCTGAAGTGATTGAAGTGTTGCCTCAGAAAGATGAGGTCAGAAAGAAACCAAAAACCAAAAGTAGTAATGCAGCATAATAATATTATGGAAGGTGTTGATAGAAATTTTAGACATGACTTAGTTGATTGATTGATTGAAAGACATAGAACAGTGAATAAGAAAAAAGGACCAACAGGAGCTCTGCCCATTCCCTTGTAGAGACATTAGGTATTTTTTTGGAAGCAGGAAACATGAAAAATGAGCAGTCGGCTTCGCCGGGAATCAAACCACAGACCTCTGGAATACCTACCCAGCGTGCAGAACCACTACACCACGAAGGCGGGAGAAATACCTTATAAACTTCCCCTTTTAAAGGGTGACTGGGGTTTTTAGGGGACCCAATCGGCAAATCCTGGATGAGGAGAATCATCGCCTAACATCCTTTTTAGCTCGGGTGCCACTGTAGACACATTAGGTTTTTTTTGGGGGGGAAGCAGGAAATATGAAAAATGAGCAATCGCTTTCGCCAGGAATCAAACCATGAACTTCTGGAATACTGGCCCAGCGTGCAGAACCATACACCATGAAGGCATGCTAGGAAGGCGGGAGAAATACCTTATACCCTTACAAATGACCGAAAGTCACTTTACAGAAGTGATTGCTCCCACCAACAAGAAATTGAAATCAAAGAGGAAGTGCTTTGTCTGCTGCTCAAAAAAAGAACGGTCAAAGAAAAACAAGTAAGAAAAGAAATTGATACTTTTGTGCTGTTCAAAGCTATTTTAATCTCCATGTCGGACTATCCTTATCTCCATGTTTTAAAATTAATTTCATAGCCTTCTAAATTTTAAATGATGACTCAATTTAGAAAGTTGAAATATGTTTTCAGAGATAGAGGATGCGAGCTCTTTTACAAACGAACATCAACAAGACACAAATGAATATGGACAAAATAAAAATATATTAATTTTATTATATTTATTTCTTGAAGGTTAAACGGACTTAAAAATGGTTGCAGCAAATTCATTAAACTGATGAATTAAACAATTAAACACACAAAAGCTCAGTTTTAAAAGGATAGTAAATATAAGTATTATAATTGCTTGTTCTTTACTAACATTCCTTTCTGCAAATTGTTCTTCCCAATTGTGTCAGTTCTCTGGAAAAGCCAACTTAAAGTGAAATTACCATGTAAATAAAAACTAGCTTAAATTAAAGCAGGCAAATTCAAATAATAATAAGTATGCATCACCTGCAATATCCTTTATGTCTGGAAATCTTGTGCATGATCAATTTATTATCGATTCCGGTGCAACTTCTCACAAGGAATGGTTTACCTCAATTAAGCCTAAGACTGAAACTGTTAAATGCACGTCTAAATTGACGGTTTTAGAAATGCAAGGCGTTGGTGATATTTGTGGCAAAACTAAGAATGGTGTTGAAATAATGTTAAAAGATGTTCTTTACGTTCCGAAATTAAACGGACAATTGATTTCTGTCAAAAATATTGAAGCAGCAGGTTTGAGCGTAATTTTTAAAAATGAAATAGTTTACATCAGAAGATTAGGACACAATTGTGATCAAAAATTAAAAGTAATGAATCTTCCTGCAAAAAAAAAAAAAAAAAAAAAAAAAACCATTTTGTGAAGTATATGTTCGTGCCAAACAAATTCGTGTATTATCTATAGGAAAGGGTCCTCGCATAAAAGAATCCAAACCGTTTATAACTATATACATTGATATATGTGGTCCAATAGAACGTCAAACACTCCATGGGGAAAAGTATTTCATGACTATAATTGATGACTACTCATGATTTATGGAAATAAGACTGCTCAAAAGAAAAAGTGACATTGCCGATTAACTCAGGCTATTCTTTAAATTGAATCCCACTGTTACAAAACTGCGCTGTGACAATGCCAAAGAATATGTCAGTGGAGAATTGCATGATATTGCTAAAAGAGCAGGTGTAAAAATAGATCCTGCAACTCCCTATACACCTTTTCTAAATGGTGCTGCTGAAAGAGGAAATAGAACTGTACTGGAAAAAGCTAGAGCAATGATACTTGAGGCAAATTTACCAAAATTCTTTTGGAGTGAAGCAGTACTTACGACTGCTTATATAAATAATCAACTCCCAAATAGTTCAATTGACAATTGTGTTCCTCATTTTCTGAAGTATGGTGAAAATCCTGATTTGACAAACATGCGCATATTTGGCTGTAATGCTTATATTCTTGTGCCACCATCCCAAAGAAAGAAACTAGATGAAAAATCTGTCAGAATCATATTTATAGGTTACACAATAGTTAGTTTAGTGATTTCAGAAACAAGACACATTATTGTTTCCAGAAATGTTAAGAAGAAAAGAAGAAAGTAGAAAAGCAAAAATACATTCCTGATAGTTCTGATTTGAGTGAAAATGACAATGATGACATTAAAAATGAAGACAAATCAATTTCAGACACTGATAACGGCGAATTAAATGCTGTGAATGAGAAGGAGGAACAAAGAAATTAACAAGAGAAAAGACACAACCAGTTAGGTATCCTAATCCTGAGACTTGTCTGCACAACAAGACACTCTGACATTTGAAGATATTGTAAATCTACCATAAGTAGAACAAGAACAATGGAAAAGAGCTATGGACGAGGAAATGAAATCTATGGAAGATAACGACGTCTGGGATCTACAAAGTTTACCCCCTGATAAAAGAGCTATTTCCTGCAAATGGGTTCTAAGTAAAAAACAAGATAGAACTTATAAAGCCAGGCTTGCTGCTCGTGGCTTCATGCAAAAGGAAGGCCTAGACTATACAGACACATTTTCTCCAGTAATTACTATGTGCTCTTTACGTTTAATCCTGGTAATTATTAATAATGAAGGTTTACAAACTTTTACTTTAGATATCAAGACAGCTTTCTTGAACGCTAAGTTAGACAAAACCATCTACATGGACCAGCGCAAAGAATATGATGATATGAGTGGTAAGAAATGTACATTTAAAAATAGTTTGTATGGTCTTAAACAGTCTCCTCGACAATGGTATCAGAAACTTCTTAATTTTGTTATTAAATTAGATTTTAAGCAATTGGACTCTGAACCATGCATTTTCATCAGAAAGCTAAATTGTAAAAAAGTAATTATGGCTCTTTATGTGGACGACTTATTAATTGCAGGTTCGGATGTAAAAGAAACAAGTATTATAATATCATTGTTATCTAAAGAATTTCAAATGTCAAAATCTGAAACTGTCTCAGAATTTTTAGGCATTACACTCAAGTTTGAGTCTCGTTGTTTATATTTAGATCAGAAACCATATATTGAAAAATTACTTGGTAAATTTAAAATGTCTGATTGTAAAACTGCCCAAACTCCCATTGAACCAAAATCTACAGCAGCTGATTTTCAGAAAGTAAATGCAACTCATGGCCATTATAAATAATTAATTGATCTTTACTTTACTTAGCATATATTACAAGGCCAGACATTTTATTTGCAGTGAATTGCTTAAGCCAACTGCAGAAGCATCCTACTGATGTTGCCTGGTGTGCTCTAAAGAGAATTCTTAAGTATTTGAAAAACACCTTAAATTTAAAATTGATATACAAAAAGGATGATTTGGAAAGGGCAAACTTATGTTTGCCTTTGTAGATGCAGATTGGTGGGAATACTCATGATAGGAAATGAATTACTGTTTACTTTATAATGTTTTCAAACTGTCCTATTATGTGGTGCTGTAACAAGCAAAAGTGTATCGCACTTTCATCACCAGAAGCTGATAATTGCTTTATGCAAAGGTATTCAAGATATTTTATGGATAAAGAATGTAGTAAATGAAATTTCCAGTTCTAAAAATGCCTATATTTTTGAAGATAACCAGTCATGTATTAAAAGCGTTGTTAATGAAAACTTTTCAGGTGGGTTGAAACATATAGATATCAAAATTAAAGTTCACTCGTAAGACTGTTAAAGAAAATATTAAAATTGAATATGTACAATCAAGTTTACAAATCGCAGTATGTTAACTAAGACTCTGTCCCAAACAAAATTCTATTAACTGTTATCACTGAGATGTTTAAAAATTGTGTAATTCTTTTATCTTTTCTATAATGTGCAATTAAGGGGGAGTGTTGAGATATTTGTAATCACATTCTTATTGGTTAAAAAGTATAGCTTTCTGTCAGGTACGATATATTCTGAAATTTAATCCTATAAGAAATTTCTCCACTTCCCTAGCATGCCTTCGTGGTGTAACGGTAGCACGCTGGGCCGGTATTCCAGAGGTCCGTGGTTTGATTCCCGGAGAAGGCGGTTGCATATTTCTCATCTTTTCTGCTTCCAATTAACCTAATGGCTCTACAAATGGTGCCCGAACTAGGGGGGTTGTGGATGATGATTCTCCGCTATCAGGATTTGGCGACTAGGTACCCTAAAAACCTAGCCGCCTTTTAGAGGGGGGTATATAAGATATTTCTCTCACTTCCCTAGCGTGCCTTTGTGGTGTAACGGTAGCACTCTGGGCCGGTATTCCAGAGGTCCGTGGTTCAATTCCCAGCGAAGGCAGTTGCATATTTTTCATCTCTCTGGCTTCCAAAAATTCCTAATGTCTCTACAAGTGGCGCCCTAACTAAAACTGCTGTGGATGATGATTCTTCGCACCCAGGATTTGGCGACTAGGTCGCCTAAAACCCTAATCGCCCTTTAAAAAGGGGAGTATATAAGAAATTTCTCCCACATCTGTAGCATGCCTTCATAGTGTAACGGTAGCACGCTGGGCTGGTATTTCAGAGGTCCGTGGTTCGATTCCCGGTGAAGGCGGTTGCATATTTTTCATCTTTTCTGCTTCCAATTAACCTAATGACTCTAAAATCCCATTCTTTGTTATTTTTGAGTGGTTGTTTATTGTATCTTGTTTGTGATTTGTTAAACCATGATCTGATGTAAAGTTATGTGTATAACCTCTGTAAACTTTTTCACTCTCTGCTTGTATCTCTGCATGATAATAAATGTTTGTTTTTCAAACCACGGCATTTTCAATGTTCAATACGACACAGATAAAACAGTGTCGGAAATTAGAACACAATATATAAAAAAACACAACATTCGTGAACCCAGAACAAAAGGATGATTTTAAGTAACACAAAGTCTTTGATTCAGGGAAAATGGCAATCAAATGTGAATTACAGACACTAACTACATGCACAGATAGTTGATTCCTGGCCTGTACTTCCTTTCCTTTACTTCAGGATGCACTAAAGATTAAACTAATTACAAAACTGTATCATTTTTTGTGCATGTAATTTTCTCATGAACACATACTGTATATGTACAATGGGTTGCGGAAAAGGATTTGGTTAGCAGCTGCTTAAAATTCAGGTTATTTTACTTTATGCTCACTAACTTCTCAACTACTAATATATGGAAAGTTTAATTTAAATTTATCAACAATAATGTATTTAAAAAAAACAAAAGTTGAAAACCAACCCGATCCTTCAGTATTTTCACTAATGCATTGTATTCCTGATCTTTTTCTTGCATTTGCTGTAAGTGGAAATCTTCTTGCTGGATATAGTCTTTTTCTCTAAAAATATATAATATAAATTTAAGATTTTTATCATTATCCTAATTTACGTCTCCAAAATATACAATGCAGCATTATATATACTATCAAGGAAAGAGCAATTTGTAATAAAACAATCATTAATTAGATACATGCAATAAAAGTAAAAAAAAATTCTGTCTGATTAGTATGAGTAAATTGAACACAAATATCTAATACACATTAAAACAAATTTTATTTATCAAATAAGTTTCTATTATCATCCACACTAACATTTTTCACAGCATACAAATTCCATGGTAAAGAAGTACTTCATTTTAAAGGTAAAAATGTCTGAATTTCTTTTTTAAAAGCTTGGCAAATAATGCATGTGTGATAACACACATAACTACATTACAATGTAGTAACATCAAAAACAGTAAATGTGGCAATCGATTATTAAAATATCAAGGAAATAAAATAAGGAAGAAAAAGCAAATCTTTTCAACCACGCTGTTGCATTTCTATAAGAGTCTTAAAATTAAGTGAAATTTTGCACTATCTTAAATTAGACGTAGTCAAGACCACTCATGACCAACTAGTGTATAACAGCAGATGCTGCTGTAATTAAAATTATTTGATATGTGTCTTCCATAATGATTACAGCATGTAGATTTAGTTATGATCTGACTATACAGCTCAAATGCATTATACCAACCGTTTCTCGAAAAACAATAGCGAAAACTAACTGGTATTCACATTTTGCTTCGGTTGAATGTCAACTGATTATCAGTAATCAATAATTGTTGTTTAAAGATTTCTTTGTTGCAAGTCATGATTGAATTGAACTGTGTTCATCTCTCATCCCACTGCAGTACTATAACAGCCAATTACAAAGAACTTACACCTGACAGATTCTTGCCTAGAGAGTGATTCATTGATCTTAACCATTGCGAAAGGACTGTTACACAGTGCCCCTTCTTTCAGTAAATGTTGAATGGCTACTCCTTTAGATCGTAATTTTAAATTGAAAATTAAATCTAAAACACTAATGTTTAAAAAGTTTAGTGAAAAATTGTAAAACAGTAAAATTATCTTTTGGCATACTTATTTCTTTGACATTCCTGAACACCTTAAGTACTTACACAATTAAACAAATATCTAATACCTGAATTGATAACAGTAATGTATTTCCTATTATTGAGGATAAAATTTAATTAGAGACACACAATTTTCACATTAAAAAAATAGAAATTTCAGTAAAACAAAGAGTCAAAAATTAAAATTCTGCATTTATTTACCCAAAGAAAGGAAAAAAGAAAAATACAAATAACTGTTTTTTAAACCTAATGAACAACACATACCCCCCCTCAAAAAAAGGCTTATGTTGTTGCAGTTTCACTATTCTCTTGCTTTTACCTTCCATTCATAACTATATTATTACCCATATTAAAATACGCCTCAGCATCCATTCTATTAATGAGCTTTGGATGCCTTTCTGAAGTTTTGTGACAATGTTGTTTTAAAAATCTCAATGACACTAATGTCAGTATTTTGATTGACCACTGTGAGAAGTTATTTATGAAAATTTGAAAATTATAGTATGAATTAACAAGCTGATCTTTTAGTCAGCCTTTAAGAAATGATATTTTAGCGAATCTATCCAATAATAAATTTTACCTGTGGCTACAGATGAACAAAATAATCTACAAATATGCTTATAAGATTCATTTGTTGCATTGGATAACAAGAATAGGGTCAATTGATTTAAATTCTTCTCTGCTGTCATTATTGATATCACTTTGGACTTTTGATCAATTTCACTTTTCTCAAGTCAAAATACATTCTGTCTTATCCTTAAAATAACCATTACTTTGGCACTCTAGAGAAGACATCAAATCATCTGACAAACCCACAAGATGTGAATGAATGCATATTTTCATTCTTTTAAGTTTTAATTAGTTTCATAGTTTTTGCACAAAATTCAGAAAAAAGCCATTTGAACTAACGAAGGAGAAATTTCTTTATAAAACATATCTCTAAGCAACTGATATTTGAGTTGTCATCTTCATATTCATTGAGAAAAGCAACAATGTACTAAATATGTTCACACAAATGGCAAAGTCAGGTTTTCCACAAATAACAAATGGGGGATACAATTCTGTTGCCAGTAAGGGGCCTTTTCTTTTAAGTACCTTGAAAATTTTTATTTTCAACTTTTCACCTTTTTAAGTTGGGGACTAAAGCTATTTTGTTTTGGCCAGGAAAGGATTTGATTTCATTCACAAATGCATCACCAACAAAATTCACTTTATGTGTTCCATATTCGTAATGCAAAATAGTCTCCAACAAGTATTTCCTCTAATTTTAATCAGGGATTCAGGTAGAATGCAGAATCTTATACTATGCATTTCACGTGGAAGTATTCTATTTCAGATTCCTTTAAGGTGTCAACAACTGCTTAGGAACAAGTAATATTGTCTAAAAAATACATATTGCCCAAAAACATTACTGTATTGTTTCTGAAGCACATTTTCAACAAAACTGTAAGTACACACCTTACTTTTTTGGAAGACATCATACTGGCCAAAACAAATACTCTTTCAGTTGTCCTTTTATTGCTTCTTTTTCAGAACATGAACAAAGTATTACAAATTTATGCCTCAAAGTATTCCTTTAAACCTTTAGTACTAAATAAGCACATAAAAGTATATATGCATCAGAATACTGGCATTTTTTAAGCAGTGAAATCTCACCATATCCTCAATAATTCTCTCTCTCCTATTCATATTTTTACACTTGAATCCTACTGATAATTGTAGTATGCTACTTTATTTGGTATGTATCTGAGTTGGGTTATTTTTATTCTCTAAATAATTAAAACTAGTTATATATTTCAACAGCGCAGCAGTTTTCAATCCAATCTATGCTCTGTAGAGGTCTAAGGGCTCCATAAGCACTTGCAAAAAGGCCTCCTTGTCTGCCCCAGGAACAAATAAAAATTGAATGAGACTTAAGATTAAGAGACAAAACAAGAAAACTGGAATTTACATTTTGAACATGGAAATTCGCCAAGCTGAATCTGTTTTAGTAGACAATGATTGGCTATTCCTTGGAACTGCACATGGGAGAAGACTTTTGCTCATTCTTGATCACTCAAACATTACTGGAATCTGAACAAAGCTTCTCAAAACTTAGCCCCTTTAAAACACAGTTGGCTAGTTGCTTTAGAGTTACTTCACAATGAATAGTCAAAGCGATAACATCGTGTATTCTAAGCAATTCTTCTGGTAGTTTTTTGGTGTTTGGTTTCTTTGTAAGTTTTAGCTGTGTAGCTGATGGTTCACTAACAAAGATAATAATAGGAATAATAATTAATGCCATAAAATTGTGACCTCTTAAAAGCAGATATATATTTATCTGTGATGAATATGGGAAGCCACCACCAGTATTTCTTGTTGCACATTGAAGTAAGGTGGTTATCTTGAGGAAAAGCATTGACATACTTGATGAAGCAGAATGCACAAGAAATGGCATTTTTCATACATTGATGCATTGATGATTTAAAATTAGGAACACTGCCACTGTGTAAAATAATGAAATGGCAAAATTTTTACCGAAATGAACAGAATGAATCTATGATTGCTAAGGAAAAATTCTAGCTTTTGATATGAATGTTAATGTTCTTTCTTTTAAGAAGAAATTTATGTTATAGTGCATAGAAAAGGAAGACATCAAAACCTCTTGCAAAGCCCCTCTTGAAAGGAAATAACATGAAGATTCAAGGGGGGGGGAAGCAGTAAAAATATTTCGGTAGATCTCGAAACTCTGAAACACCTTGTTTTTCAGCTACTGAAGAGAAGGTGCTTGATGACTCTGAATGGATACTGAAGTTTTTCAGAGGGGGAAAAAAAAAGAAAGAAAAAGCTTAACAGAACAGGAGGCCTCATTGTGAACAAAGTGAATTAAAAATCGTGTTTCAAAACGAAAGTCTACTGAAGTTTCAGCTGCATACAAGATAAATTCTAAGTTTTGTTTGAGAAAGAAAAATTATTGTTGCTGCCTTTCTCAACTACATATCCAGTGAAACAGGATTTTCCACCTGTATAGATATCGAAACAATATCAGCTCCTTCAATGCAGAATAAGACATTTTTCTTAAAGCCCCCATCAGATGAACCTAACCATGAAATCATGCACAAAAATACAACCACTAACCCCTTAACTGCTGAAGAAATCCGTGAGTCACTCCCCAGTGCCACCATTTTTTTCAGTGATGTAGTTCGGATAAGTGTGGAACATTTGGGAAAAAGGAGACGCACGGTTTCTCTTCTCTTTTATGAAATCAGCACATCTTGGGTACACTAGTTCAAACTCAAATGGTTGCATTCCAAATTTGTTTGAATAGATATATAGCTAGTAGGAAATTACAAAATATCGTATTTGGTATAGGCATATTTTTTATGCCTGAGGCAATTAATGGGTTTACTAGGCAAAGTGTATATATATGCAATTTCAAATAAGTAATGAACAAGTATATATTTGAACTAAACTGCATGCAAAGATTTAACCTGTGGATGCCAAATTTATTGCTATGACTTTAATGTTGCTTTATGCCACGATGCAAAATATTTATTATAACACAAATTGGTTTTACTTATTGAATTCTGGAAGAAATAAATTTTATGTGCAGTTAACTTCTGACAGTATCATTTTTAAAAATACATTAAGATATGATAGCAAATTAAAAAATTTTAAAATACAATTTTATTTCATTGTATTTTATTTCCTTCACTATTTTATTTACCTTGCACAATTTTTTAGATATTTCCTTACTTTCTCTTAGCATCTATCCCCTTTTCTACTCCTGTAACATTATCTTTAGCATTATTAACCTGTGAAGTATAAAGGGGATCCACCATATGAATTAATTATAGAAAGAGCTCTGCATGTCAAAATGTTGGGTACCACTGCATTAGGATATTCTTTTTATGACCTTCTAATTAGCTTACAATTTTTATACGTAAGTGCATCACTTGAGTA